CGCCGCCGCTTCCCCTTCCCCTTCCCGCCGCCGCCCGGCGCCTCACACTGGGGCTCGCTGCTGCGGCGGGGCGGTGACGGCGGCGGGGCGGCGGTGGGCGACGAGTACGAGCGGCGTTACAGCGGAGCCTTCCCGCCGCAGCTGCGGGCCCGGTTGCGCGACGCCGCCCGCGGTATGTTCGTCTTCGGCTACGACAGCTACATGCGGCACGCCTTCCCCAGGGACGAGCTCGACCCCCTCCACTGCCGCGGACGCGGACCCGACCGCCACGACCCGTGAGTCGCCGCGGGGGGCGGGGGGGGGGTGTGAAGTGGCCGGCGGGGCCTGAGGCCGGGTTTTTCTCTTCCCCAGCTCCAACCTCAACATCAACGACGTGCTGGGAAACTACTCGCTGACGCTGATCGACGCCCTGGACACGCTGGCGGTGAGCCCGGGGAGCGGCGGGGGGGAAGGTCCGGAGCCGGCCCGGGCCGTGAGGTATTCGCCACGTCTTAGCTGGGAGTCAGTTTGCCGTCCCTGTGAGGAAAACTGCGGTCTCTGCGGCCGAGCTTTGCTCGACGGGAGCCGCGGCTTCGGTGTAAGGGGCTGGGGGGAGGTTCGGGTGGGCAGCTGGAAGGAGCGAACTAAATTTTGTACCTGAGTTTAAAGGTGCGTTAACGCAGCCGGGGTCTTCTGCTCGTCGAACTCCGAAGGAGGTGTCTTAGGAGGATAGGGACGTTAATGCTGAAGTCAGCCGAGGAGAGGCTTTGAGAGACGAGGAGCCCCAAATGCCCTTGAACGTCCGTGAGTCCTGTTTGCTCTCTTGCCTTGGTCCGGCTGTTAGCGGCGAAACGGGCGCCTGTTGCATTTCGCCGGGTGGTTTATTCCCAACCCCGCTGTGGGAAACCGGGAGTCAAAGCTCACTCTCAGGCACAGAGCTGGGCTTAGAAGGGCTGTGACCCTGCAGGTCTCAGCTGTGGGATGGTTGGATTGAGGAGGGAGTGTGGTCATGAGCTGTCACCTTGACAGCGGGCAGCGTGCTGGAATGGGCTTTGAAGGAAGGAGCTAAAGGGGAAAAAGAGGATGTAGTGCAGCATTAATTTATTCAGTGTTCTCTTGAAGATGGGCCTTGCTAGGTTCATTTGCCCTGGTACTGAGCAACACTGATCTTGTCCCTTGCCCTGAGGTTGAACTTGCAAACACAGAAGATCTGGTATCTTGAACTGGTTCCATATAAAAAAGACAAAAAAAGACAAAAAAAGCTAGTGGAGCTGAAGAAGAGGGGTACTTGGCAGAGAAACCTGGTGAGAGGTTGAAGGAAGAAAGTTTCAAACTGGAGGGAGTTACTCCACAGTGTTTTTCAAGGACCAGCCATGAATCTAGTGCTGTTTAGTCTTTGTGTGTTAACGTTGTTAATGCAAAAAGTGCTGATGTTTCACGCAGAGCTGCTGATAGAGATGAATTCCCAATATGAAGAGTAGGTGAGATGACATTGTGAGGAACCAGTTAAAATTGTAATGAACTTCAGCAATATGAAGGTCTAATAGTTTGTAAGTGAGAGGTTATGAAACATTTCACTTCGGAGGAGAAGGTGGTGCTGGGTGTATGCTAGCTAACAGCTGGATCATGAGCTAGCAGTGTTACACATGCAAGGAAGGACAAGTGTACTTGGAGACATACCAGCAGAGATTTCCAGGAGACATAGAGGAAATTTTGGAGATCTTCCCCAAGGCTCAGGTGAGATCTCTTAGGGGATACCGCTGTCACACAGGAAGGGTCACAGGACACACATGGGTTGCTGAGAGATATGTCAGGAGGAGAGTTCATCTCATTCAGGATGACTGTAAGATCTCTGATTGTTTTGCTTGGCAGAGAGGGCCTGACTGACGCATAAATCTGCATAAAGAGTGGTGAAAGGAAGGAGGGGAAAAAAGCTGTAAAGCTGCTTCTCGCCTGCTAAAATAGACCATCCTATGCATTTCTGGTAAAATTTGAAGATAATGTGAGAAGCAGCTCCATTTGATGTTAGTACCGGTAGTATGGTATCATGGAGAAGAGCCCCTTCCTTGAACTCCTTATGCATATTTAGAGACCCCTTAGGCTTCATTAGTCTCATTTTTGCAGCCGGGGCGGATTCTTAGCCTTCTGGAGTGTTGGGGCTCATCGATGCACTGGATCTTGTGCAGAAGGTGGTGTGTGCAAGGACTGTATGTGTGCTTCGGGTTATAAAATACTTCCTATTGCTACAATGGAATTGCAGCTCTGTGGTGAGGAGGTCTCAGCTGTTTAACTGAACATGGCAGTTATGAACAGAACTGAAAGCAGGAAGTGAGGGAAACCTTGGTTTTAACTGAAACAACAGTTACGGATCCATGCTACGTGGCTGATGGCGTGTTGGCTTAAACAGTTACCTTCCTGTCCTCGTTTGCCAGTGGTTCAGTGTCCTATCCATACCTTTTGGGGCAGTACATAACTTTTTTTTCTCAAACATAAAACTTGTGGTTCTGAGTCTCCTGTGTTTTGGAAGCTTGTGCACAGAGAAAGCCTATTTTGCTCTTCATCTGCTCAGATCAAGTGTGTGAATGCTTTCCCCCGTAAGTCTGGGTAATGCAAAGGGCAGGCTAGCTGGCACATGGTGCTTTGACGGTTCAAGAGGTAGGTAGGTTCCCTGTACACCCAGCCTTATCATGAACTTAGGCAAGTGGGAACCTGTGTTTTCCTTCCACATTCCTGCTTCCTTGAAGCTGGGGCTGAATTTACGTCTGTCTCTGGGTATAGTGGAAATCAATTGCTAAGGTATACCTATAGAAAACTGGCACGAGGGAACTCCTGGGCATGGCGTGCAGTGTTGAGTCAAAAGCCCGGAGGGTTGGACTCCCTGGTCAAATAAACGTCAAATCAGACTTCATTCTTCTGCATGTTGTGTTACCTTTTAAGCTAAACTTAACTCTTAAACTGATAGTGTAAGCAGTTAAAACACTCAGTGTGCTAGATCTTAAAGAGTTTTTAGACTCCTGCTCTAAGAGATCACCCACAAGGCTGATGTTGGGCGTGGAAGAGCACGTGAATGCATAGATTAGTAAAACAGTCAAAAATATATCTTTGTGGATTTCCCTGTTTTAACATATTTTTTTAAAAATGAACTTTTACATGTCACTAGGATGGGTAACTCTCTGGAAAGTCTTTTTAGCAGGAGTTGAAGTACTGCGTTCTGTATCTAGTTAAGATGACTCTTGGTCTAAAGTGTGAACTTGCTGTTCTCTTCCCCAACCCTCTTCTGAAGCAAAATTAGACAAAATAGATTTGTTTTTATGTAAAAGGTAATGGGAAACTCCTCAGAATTCCAGAAAGCAGTGAAGTTGGTGATTGACACCGTTTCATTTGATAAAGACTCAACGGTCCAAGTTTTTGAGGCAACAATCAGGTACGTTGCTCTAAGTTTCTGTCTTTAAAACAGTAACAAGGTTAAAGACTTGGGCGTATACGGGAGCACCAAAGTAAAATCACTGATAAGGATGTCTTTGGTAGGCTTTATTCCATAATTGTTGCTCGAGTAAGTTGTTTTTTAACCTTTTATGAAAATATTCCATCCTTTCATAATTAAAACAATTTTAATGAGTGACATGTGACTTGAAGCAGTGATTCAATGGTAGTCTCAGCTGTCTTTGGCTTGCGGACTGCTACTTTTTTGTTGTTGCTCTTGCAGCGGAGACTCAGATCTGTGCACAGCAAACAGCCCTGCTGACAGGTTTCCCTTGTTTTGGATTTCTTCCATGGACCTTCTTGCTTTCACTTTCATTTTAGATGAAAAACAGGCCCATCTGTCTTGGAGATGAGTTTAAGATGCTGCCTGATTTTAAATGGCTTCATTTTCTGAACGTCTTAAACAGTGTTTATATTCAGTTGCTGCTCTAACTTCACTCATAAATAGACTTGGTATGTTGCAAGGAGCTGCCGGGTTAGGTAGATTTCGCAGAACCGGATTTTGGGATTACTGTGCTTGGCAAGCAACATGACTTCCTAGATGTTTTCACTACTGGTGGGGAAAAAAGCAGATCTCTTTCTGTAGCACCTGTAAGGTACACAAAGTAATACTTCTGTTAAACATGATACTGGTAAGGGTTTAGCTGAAGAACTAGGTTCAGATCAGATTTAAAAACTGAAGATCTTTTCCTTTTCCTGTAGGGTTTTGGGAAGCCTGCTTTCTGCCCACATAATAATTACAGATACCAAACAGCCTTTTGGTGATATGACCATTAAGGATTACGACAATGAACTGTTGCATATGGCTCGGGACCTAGCAGTGAGACTACTTCCAGCCTTTGAGAACACCAAAACTGGAATTCCCTATCCTCGGGTAAGTGAGCACACCAATGCAGTGGGGAAATAATCTATAAGTAGTAATTCACCTGTCCTACAACTCAAATTCTGCGCCCTCTGTGTGCCTTCATACCTGCACTTGGGGTATTGAACCTGCTCTAAGTTACATTAAAATGGTGTGGGGGGGAAACTGCACTAAGTTATGGTGACATGGACGATATGTAAGTTACTCCTTAAGCCTAGTAAATGTTTTCTTTAGGCTGTTTTTTCACTCTCTGTATATTGTTCTGTACGGGTCAGTAGTCATTTGTTTCTGTGCTGTTTGGCTGTCCCGCTCTGCGCTTTCTTCCTACATATCGTGCAGCAACAAACAATGCTGTCATTAAGAAGGTTAATAAGAAATACTGTAAAGGCAAATAGCCTGGGAAGGTGACTTTATTGGTGACTTGGTACTAAGATAATTGTGATAAAATAAACCGCATCTAAAATATTTGTCATACTGGGCTTGGATTTTGTAATTTTCTTGAATACTGCTCAGCTGAGAACTTGAGAATACTGCGGTATTCTTGAATACTGCATCCTCTCGTTTTAAGCGGATGCAGTTCGCAAGGAGAAGGATGTCAGTTCTGGTGGAATAACTCTAAACTGTAAAACTAATTAGCACTTGCCTGACTACTTTTAATTTCTGGGGACAGCAACACTGCTTTTCCTCCAGACCTGATAGGCTCTAGAAGCGTAAACTTTCACTTCTGTTCAAAGTCTGGGAATCCCGTGGCAGGTGGTGTAACTTCCCTTCAGCATTTTGTTCCGTGGGGAAGTTGAGGAGCATTCACTGAGGAAACTCTTGTTTTCAACAGCACTAAATGAGGGGAAGCAGTACTTGCATCGCCCTTGGAAGAACCTGAATGTGTAGTAGAAGTGGTGAACAAGTGGACTGAAATTTGGAAGGATTAGCAAGTATAAGAGTAGCAAAATTAGGATTGCCCACCTTGAGCACAATGTTAGGAAGTTGGAAGATGAATTTCAGGAATTCTTCAGGAAAGCTTTTTGACCAAGCAGTGATACGCTGGCTTTCTAACTATATACACATTGCATGCTACATATTACAAAAACTAATTAAAAAGGCTTTATAATAAATGTAAGACTGCAGATGTGAGAGCACAGCTGTATGAGGCGCAGCCTGCCTTCTTTCTGTTAGCACTCTCTCTACCTGCTTCACAGGTCAATCTGAAGAACGGGGTACCCCCAGACAGCAATAATGAAACTTGTACTGCGGGAGCCGGTTCCTTGCTGGTGGAGTTTGGTATCCTTAGCAGGCTGCTTGGTGATTCCACATTTGAATGGGTAGCCAGGAGAGCTGTCAAAGCACTCTGGAGTCTCAGGAGCAATAACACTGGACTGCTAGGTAATCTCGTCAGAGGTGATGCTATACTGAGTGGCTCCATGTTTTAACCTACCTCAGTCTCCTGTAGCAGAATGCCATCATGCTACAGGTTTCTTTCACATAACGTAAACTTTGTTGATCTGCTTCTTCTGTAGCTGTTAAGTCATGCTCTCCTTGCGTACTTGTGGTTTGTGTTGACCAAATGGCACTTTGCAATTTTGTAAGAAACATGGAGCATCTGAATGAACTTCTTAGGGCACAGGTTTCCAAAGACAAATTTTTCATGAAGCTGGGAAATGAAACCCATTAATATAATTTAGATTGGCAGATGACTAAAAGGTACTTAAAATAACTGCATGTGTGTGCTAGTTCCTTGGATGAATGCCCTGTAACACTTTATTTTGATAGTAATCTTTGATCATTCCACCTTAAGACTTTCTGAAGATGTAATATTTCCAACTTCTGCTTCTCGATTGTTTTTCTCTGATGTACTTGGCAAATTTGGACTAAACTTTTTGTCTGTTCTGAAAGGAAATGTTGTGAATATTCAAACTGGCCATTGGGTTGGAAAGCAAAGCGGCTTGGGAGCAGGGTCAGATTCATTCTATGAATACCTTCTGAAGTCTTACATCCTCTTTGGAGAAAAGGAAGATTTGGAGATGTTCAATGATGCTTATCGGAACATTCAGAACCACTTAAGAAGAGGGTATGTTATTTACTCATATGTGTATCAATTCTGTAAGTAATGAGTACTCAAGCAAGATATGAGAGATAGTATAGTGTTTTGTGTCACGCTCTAGAAAATCTGTGTTCTGTTTTTTTCTTTAAAAAGCAAAAAAAAATGGTAGTTACCATGGAAATAAATTTTAACGTTCCCTTCACTCCTTACTCAACTGATCTGAATAGCACTATTGGTGCAAAGAAGCTAAACAGGTTACCGTCCGAGTTGGTAAATGTTAGGCTGAGAGGAGGCTGTAGAACTACAGAGGAAATGTATTAAATTGGCTGGTTTAGTACTTCTTAAGGCCTGATCTTACCTAGCATGACTTTTTGGTAGAGATTCTGCTGACATAACTTAAGGATATGGTGTACATACCTCTATGAATTAATTTTTCTGAGAGCATGACTGGTGTTTTGATTCATTTCAAAATGGCTTTGAGCCTAGCACAACAAATCTGTGGCTCATTCTCTTTGCTGGTGGCAGTGCTGTAAAATGAAACATGCATTGTGTTCTTCTAAAATAGTGAATGTTTACACATGCTTATTGTTACTTGGCAGTCGAGAAGCTTGCAATGAAGGTGAAGGTGACCCTCCTTTGTACGTTAATGTAAACATGTTCACAGGACAGCTGATGAACACTTGGATTGACTCTCTGCAAGCTTTTTTTCCTGGACTACAGGTAAACTTTCATTCTGTTAAAGAGCGAACAACACAGTAGAGGAGTGTTAGAAAGGCTCATTCTAATCCTAGGCCGTGTATAAGTTTAAGCATCTCTTCTGAGATGAGCTTCAACCTGCAGGTTTACATCTGGCTGCTCTGATAAGAGAGTCTTAGGGAGGTTCAGCTTCTGCCTCAGCATAACAGTATTGGAAGGCCTGACCTCCTCTCTATTAGATTTGAGGTACTGCTTAACTTTTCTCATTTAACCTCAGCATTTCTATACCACGCTGTGAGGCTGAGCTCCACTGAAGCTTTTAGTGTGAAGGAGTTAATACATTATCTTTGTTTTTTGTGAGTTGTTTCGTTGGTTTTTTTTTTTTCAGTCTCCCCTTACGAGGGGAGTGTTTTATTATATGGCATGTTCTTATACTGAGCGGAAAGCAATTTGCTGGCTTGCAGTATTAAGCGTGCATGTTTACGGCTGTTGTTGTGCCTAGGTATTGATAGGAGATGTGGAAGATGCTATTTGTCTCCATGCTTTTTATTATGCCATATGGAAACGATACGGAGCTCTCCCAGAAAGATACAACTGGCAATTGCAAGCACCGGATGTTCCCTTTTATCCACTGAGGCCAGAATTAGTGGAGTCCACATATCTTCTTTATCAGGTACCTGACTTTTCTCAGCTTACAGCTGTTTTTGTTTTGGCGAAAATGGTTTTGTTCAGAAAGTTACTTTTTCTACCCCTGGCCTGCTAAAATTTGGTGCCTCTGGATCTGACTGTTCTTATACGTAGGTCTCTGTCTAGGCACTAGATTGTTATGCAATGTAGTTGCTATGTTGTTTGCTTAAAAAATAGCCTTTTTTATAAGACAGACAAAAATGAGACTAAACAACCTTTTGAAAAAATAGCTGGCAGATTTTTACAAGGTAGAGACTTGTGACTTCTTAATAGAAATCGTTGAAGTAAATGTAATAGCTTTCCTTGCTATATTGTCTAGGCACAGTCTCCAGCTGGCAGAAGATACAGTAATCTAAAATAGCTTTCTGGCTGCAAGAAAGCTATCAAGGAGTTTGAATTTACTACAAGTTTTATTAGGATTTGCACTAAAGCAAATGTGAAAAGCTTGCACAGAGTGATCTAAGTCATGTTCCTATAAAGATAGGTTTACTCTAACGCACCAGAATCTGACACTAGTAGGCCTTTCTTTTAAGTGTTATTTTTACCAGATTTTGAAGTTGCTGACTCTAACTCTTGTCTGTCTTCCTTATTTAGGCCACAAAGAACCCATTTTACCTTCATGTGGGAATGGATATTCTGCAGAGTTTGGAAAAATACACAAAAGCAAAGTCAGTCTTCCATGTTCTTTGTCTTCTCTCACTGCTATATGCATATATTTTATTATATAAATATTGTATAGAATCCAATCTGCCGAATGTAGGTAAACCAGAAAACCCAACCCTCCATGAAAGCCACAAGTGAAGATTTATATATTGAGCAATTCTTTCTTTCTCATCTGAAAATGAAATTATGGTACAGTGACAACTTTATGCCTTCAGAATTTTATAACTACCTTTCAAAATGCCTTGTTGATGATCAGTTGCTAACAACTGGTAAAATTAGTAGCTTTTTTTTTTTTTCCTGTGGCTCCTGCAAGAGTATTTCTAACCTCATGGGCCTGTGGTATTTAACTAAACTGGAAGGATGGCCTCTAAGATAGATGCTGTTGCATATTGGCTTTCATCTCAAGACAGTAACAGTGAATCCTGACTGTAATACTGAGTATCTGAACTTCTTGCAAGACTCAGAGGGAAGATATTGAATTTTTATTCAACTATTGGTATTTACTGATTTTCTAGAGAAGTCTGTACTAACCATAGGGCAGTATAAAACAGCGCCATTCTGCAGTTAAGTGAGAATCAGATGCTGTATAGGGGGTTGACTGAAAGAATTACAAGTGTGCTGTGTGACAGCTTGCAACTTTGTCATTTGTTAAGTGGTGGTGGGAGGGAAGAGTAGGTAGCTTGGGAACAAACCTTTGCATGAGACCAGGCTTCCAGACCTGGGTTTTTCATGTGCTCAGTATAGGGTAATTACCTGTTTTGTGCAGGGTGCCTTGAGAGTATCTTGCTTCTTTGAGAGACATTTAATAAATCTGCATGATGGAATAGATGAACCAATGATTACAATCTCATCAGAATACCAGACGCCAATAACCAGTGCTTACTTGTAAAAGAGACTTGTTTTATTTTAACTTCAGACCATTCCAATTGTCACTAGGGATGAAGTTAAGGAATATCTAGGGAGCGCTTCAAGATCAGAAAGCGTGGGAACTAAACCCGAATTAATCTTAAATCTTGCAGGTGTGGTTATGCCACGTTGCACCACGTTGTAGAGAAGACAAAGGAAGATCGAATGGAGAGCTTTTTTCTCAGTGAAACATGTAAATATTTGTACCTGGTACGTATATGTTCTTCACTTCAAAGATACTCTCTTGCATGCACTGTGCACAAACACGGCACAGCGAGGGGGCAGGACGTTGTTAATTAGAAACTCTGCTGTGCTCTGGGGAAGAGGGGTTTAGGTATTGAAGTGTATCAGACAGTGCGCTCTTCTTCTTTCTTTGATCCCACCCCAGTCTTGGGGGTTTGGGCAGCTGCCTGAGCGTGGTGTCCTGAACCAGTGCTGGAGAGCTGGTAACTCTTATGGGGAGAAGCTAGAAAGGAGAGGGAGTAAAACTTGAAGGAACCTACTGCTCAGCTCTGAGCTAAATTGCTGCTTGTAGCCATTTTGCCTGCTTCGCAGCAGCCTCTGATTTCTCCCCATCAGGCTTTGGCAGTCACAGGAGAAAGCATTTGAGCTGACACTGCTTGAGCTACTGTTCTCAATCTCCTTTAGTGTAGAAAAACAAATAAATCTGTGACTGAATGGAAACAGTGGATGCCAGCCTAGCGATGCCTGCATAGTGCAGCTTAGAAAAATAAGGGCAGTTTAAGTTGTGTCAGAAGTTTTTCTTTTGCTCTCCACTTTTTAACTGTTAAAATAAATCCCTTGCATTAAAACTATTTATTTCCATTTGCTCTAACAGTAGTAACCCATTTAGCACCAAAAGGTAATGCTTTTTGTGTGATCCTTCAAATGCATGAGTGTCTGCTTTTTAACTTACTGTTGATGGGACATGAAGAATGTTGCACACATACTTTAGCTGTCTCTCCCATCTCTTGTTTAGTTGTTTGATGAAGAGAATCCAGTGCATAAATCTGGAAATAAGTATATGTTTACTACTGAGGGGCATATCGTGTCTGTGGATGAACGGTTTCGTAACTCACTGTGGCAAGACATCCTCCCTGGAGAAGAGGACAGCGCAGAAAAAATTAAACCTAATGAATTAAAGGCAGTCAACTTCAGCTCTAATGTAAGGAATACATAGACTGTTCCTGGTTGCGTTGCTGGCGAAGGGCTGTATGTTGAGCTGGGTTAGTCAGTAGAAAAAGAGCCATTTGGAAGTGTTACTTTATTGCTCTGCAGTGTTTCCTTTATAAATGTCAAATATCTGAGAAGCTCCCTTGTGAAAAACACTTTCAGTAGTAGAATGAATGGATTAGGATAATGTGAGAGCAATTATGCTGAAGGTGAAACCTGTGTCCTCTTTTAAGTATTTTGCAGCAATTAGTTTGTTCTTTGTTAATTTATTTCCAATTATTTTTGCCTTCCCATTTTCTTTGCCCTTAAAATTTTCCAGTGTTGCTGTGATGGGGAAAGAGAAAAGCAGAGGGCCATTTAAACAAAGCTTTTTTTCCTCAGATTGTTTTGAGGCACGTAATGGTGACCTTTTTTAGCTAGTCATCAACTGAGTACAGAGCTATGGATCCAGTGCCTATCACCAACCAAAATATGTTCTTAATACAGAAAATTTTTTTAAAAAAATCTCTGCTAGTAGGTTCTAGCATGGTTCCTTTCCTCCTCCCCCCCAGTCCTGCAGAAAAAGAGCATTATCTTAAAAGACATTCACAGTTGTCATAGTGAAGGAAGTCTCAGTTGAATAACAAGTTGCAGCAGTTAGGCGTGTATTTGGAAGCTTGCAGCCTGCACTAAGGAAACGCTGTTCATTTATGTGGTTTGTGCTGTAAGTTTGCAAAGAGTGAGGGAGAGGTGGGACCAAAAGTGCTGTTGGGTACAATTTTCTGTACTGGGAGGAAATCTATTGTTACTGATGCTGAAATACCTGCTAGATTACAGAGGGTATGGGATTACCTGTTTTCGTATTTGAGTTCTTAAAAATATTCTCATTTTGTTAACAGTGTAACAGAGTTCCTGATGAGAGGAGATACTTACTGCCATTGAAGAGTAACTACATGAGACAGATTGATCGAATGGTGGGCTTGATCTGAATGGTTCTTCAGAGTAACTTTTATTGTATGTCAGGAGGAGCATGGAATTTGGCTGTAGACATTCCCCTCCTCTTCAGCTACACGCCTGCATATGCTGAGTCACTTGGGTATCCCCCATGCTTGTTAGTTTTCAATTATGGACACGAAGGGAGATCAAGTGCTCTTAGGAGTTCTGTCTTCGGAACTGTGGTAACTCCATGTGCCACCTGAACAGAGATTTCTTGTTTTAGGACTTCCTATGAAAAATGTTGTTGCAAATGAAGGCTGAATATACTTAAAAAAAAAAAAAAAAATTGGCGTGTGCCACTTAGCTACCTCTTTGTAGCTGTATTACAAATGTCCCTTTAGAAAAGGGTCTAGTATTTAATTTGAAATGATCTTGGGATTGGAGAAGGAATGGGAAAGTGCAATTTCTCACACCGAGTTTAATCATTGAATTATTCTGACTAGCAATACACAACCTTAAGTACTACTCAGGTAGGAACCCACTGGTAATGGGTTTTGCTGAAACAAAACCGCTCTATCTAGAATAGTATCTTGAAAAGATAACTCCTGATCATATAAAAAGCTATCAGTATAGTCGTGATATCCCTCATATATGCAGTTGTATAGAACTGCACGGTCGTAAGAGCCTGTGGCTGCAGAAACCAGTAATAAAACAAATTGGGTGCCTTTTTTTGTAAGGGAATGGAGGGGAGGGAGGGAGGGGGAAATTGCAAAGCCACTTGGCTGCCAAAGCAGCTAACTTTATATAGCTTAGCTGAGCAGAAGTTCCAAAAGTTTTGTTATTTGTCATGTTTCTAGTGCCTTTTCAGGAGAGATGCTGCTAAGAACTGGTGTAACAGTACATGAAGAACAAACTGTTCACATTCCTGAGAGCATTAATGTGTTGGTGCCTTACATTTTCTTCACTAGCAGGAAGAACTGAGCTTGCTTGGGAAGATGGATAAAGTATTTCTGATTAGCTGGTTACAAAATACAGTGGATCCCAAAGTAACTTAAAAGAGTAACTTGCATGTGAGATGACTTCTCTGTTTTTAAGATACTGGAAGAATATCAACTTCTGTGCCCATCCCAAAGAGCATTTCTAGGCTGGATTTATTCTCTCTGTCAGTGCAGTTAGTAAAGGAGCTGCCTCTGCATCACCCTGGGGATGGAGTTAGTAAGAGTTCTGAGCCTGCAGTATGCTGGCTTTCCTCAGCCACAGGACAGTTCGGTACATGCCACCGTAACAGGGTCATGGCTGCAGCAGCTATCGATGCTGACTGTAGTGCTATACTGTACCTGTAAGCTGTGCCTTCTGCTTACAGTGAGGAATGGTGAGAACCTGCTGTTGCTTCATCCCACCATCCTGAAAGGCAGTTCAGATATGTTTGAGGAACAACTGTCTATGAGCTTTCAGGAAGAAAGTGGTTAAAGTCAGGCAGGGCTGTAGAGGGATGAAAACAAACTGAGGCCAAAACAACTTACTCTAAATATAACAGGGTGGTTGGGGTTTTTTTCAGTGGCTCTCCATTGCTTACATGCTTCTTACTTTTGACTATAGTTGAAGTAGTTGAATGATGTTACTGTTGGGTTAATTATTTTTAAATTAAGGCTTAAATGTAAGGGCAAACTTGATCTGCTGTATTTTTACCTTCTTGTGACAACATCGGTTTTCATAAACCATATGTTGCAACTCAAAACTTTTCTAATAAATATGAAGTTAGTGCTGAAAAGGTTATTGTTTGAATCTTTTAGTATACAGATGCATCTCAGGGACTTCGTTGTAGAATCTTGTATTCCATGGTAGTTGGATCTTGCATTCAGGCAAAAAAAAAAAAAAAATCCTGTCATCTTAGTCTTACTGTGTGTGTTTTAACAGGGGGGAGGATTGGAGGGGAGAGAGGGAAATATGTTAAGATTTCCCAAAACATTGCAATAGAATTGGTTGCCTTGATGTTTGAGGCAGCTGGCAATTCTGACTCCTATAGAATTGGCTTTGCAAACCTATTACTGGAAGGTCTTAATTGCCTATTTTAAAGCAAAACATAAATTCAAGGTGTTATGGTCCAAAGAGGTATTGGGAGAGGTTCAAGGTATAGCTTCCTAGCCAGTAAATGTTGTTTGGGCATGCAGGTATGCTTCAGTTTGTAAACATGTAAAGAAGGGAAGGAGGATGCGTAAAGGGAGTGCTTCCCGCTGACCGAGGGAGGCAGAAAGCAAAGACATCTGGGCTTTCTGAAATGCTGCTGCTGGGCCAGATCTTCTAATGGTGGCTCTGAAATGAGAAGTGCTTAGTAGTGTGGAAGCCAAATGCAGCATTCCACAAGCGGCCACTTAAAATAGTGGCATAGCAGATGCCAGGACGGACATTGCCCTAGGTGTGTTGGTGGCTGCTTCTGGTAGTTTTTCCCCGACTCGCAGTTTAGCTCTCAATGTGTGTTACATACCTTGCAATTGCCTTTCAGTGTTTTGTGCCTTCTGAAGCCCCTGAACTCTGGTAAGGGTTCCAGCCGCATGTTGTGCACAGAAATCTGTTTCAGAGTTTTCCTCGGAGAATTACATGACTATAATGAAGCTGCACAGCTGTTCTGCCACTGTGCTTTTCCCTCTTGTATGTTGCCAGAAATAGAGTGAGAGGTAGCTGTAGAATGGGAACAGTATGGGCAGGTATTGCAGCCTTTCAGCCCTTAGTGACTTGGACTGTTAGTTGCAGTGCCAAATAGTATATGGTCAGCCTTTCGTTAGAAACTGTGTTGAAATTTGTGTTGCCAAGGTGATCTGACAGTCATCTTTCCATAGGAACAGTTTTTGTCTTCAAGGAGACTGGTGCTGACCACGTGGTAAGAGGCTTTTATTCTTTAAGGAGCCAACTTTTCTTCCTCTTTGTTTTAAGAATGCTTTGATACATTTTTACTGTAATGACAGGGCACATGTTATGCACTAAAATTAAAACTTTTGTATAAGTCAATGATATCAAAATTAAATTGATAACACTGCTGGAATAACTTGCTGAAACAGACCTTTGTATTTCTTGGTATAATGTGCAATATCAACTTTTCCTAATTAAAAATGCAATGTATGCTTAATTGTTGTTTTTCCATGAAGTATTTAATCGGGGATGGGAAATTTTTAAGAGGACCAAATGCTTTTTCGTGAAATGTCCTAACTTTTCAAAACTGAGCTTAAATTTTGCAAATCTGCATTAAAAAAATACTGTGTTTCACCACTTCTGTGTGTGTTTTTCTTATAGCATAGTTACTCTAAGGCCAACATGAAGCTTGCAGGTGATCTCCCAAATGCAGGGAGAAGATTAATTTGACTGTGTATACCTGATCTTTGCCGTTCACCAGAGAGGAAAACTTCAGCAGCTGAGTAGAACTGGGAGTAGGGGTGAGTAAAGGAAAACATACCTGAAGTCTGTGTTCAAGCAGATTTGTGGCTCTCATTCAAGTTCTCTGTGACGTAGCCAATCTGAAGACCTCTGACTTCAGTAAAGTAACAGAAGTCCCCAATCAGTTCTCTAGTTCTGTTGTAGGTGTTGATGGCAGTCTTGTGTGTGAAGAATGTTAAGTCTCTGACTGTGTGCCACAAAGAGGTTAGGCTGGGAATTCACTTTTTTTTATGAGCCAGCCTTAGTCAGGAACTGTCACTGCTAAGAGCATTGCTGTCTATTACAGCAAATACCATGTTACTCCACTTACTTAGAGGTTAGGTGTACTGCTGGGTATTTTGGGGAGGAAGGAAAAGACTGCTTCAACCAGAACTTGACAGTTCTTTGTCTCCAAGGGTAACTTGGCTCTGTCTTTGCCTTACACCTGGTTAGCTTGGGAACACATAATTGAGGTGTGCAAGAAATAGCTTTTATTTTCCTTGGGGGAAATGAGACTTGTCAACCATATCCTTGCAATAACACACGTAATAAGCTAATGGTTTGGGGAAGGGATTACTCTCTGGTGAGGGCTTTCTTGCCAGCATCGTCTGCCTCGGCTACTAGACATGAGATGCCTTCTTATGCATGCTGGCTTTTCCGCTAGCTAGAACAAGGGATGGCTCCTCACTGCAGGAAAATAAAAGAACACCCCACCTCCCGAAACAAAAAGCCTCTTTCTTCTGCCCCTGTCCACCATTCATTTTCCCTGCATAATGGTTGGAGGGGCAGCCTGTGCTGAAAGCAGTGATTTGATGTGGAATGAAGAAATGAAGTGTGGCAACGTCAAGCTGTTGGCCTCTTGAGCAGGTAGCTGAGTCTGAGTAAGTACTGACCTACCTGCTGGTGTTTCCTAATACCACTTTCTCCAAGTTGGTCTGTGAAGAACCTAGTGCAGGTGGGAATTCTGCACCGAGAACCTTGCTGGGCTCTTTCCAGTCTATGGATAACTGCACCCTGGGAAATAGCTCATGCTGTGTCTAAAACAGAGGAATGTGGAAACAAACAAGCTATCTGACTGTCACTTTGGTAATTTTTTCCTTTTTTTTTTTTTTTCTTCTTCTGGATTTGTTTTCTCTTTGATTGACATTATCTCTTCTATTGTCTTCTGTTTTGTAGTCCTGATTCAAAGGTCGTTGAAGCTGATGGGGCACTTACTGTTGTCTGTCTTGATCAAACTCCCAAGTTACAAGGAAACGACTATTGAACATTAGTGACTGGACTTTTGCAATGTTTTTGAAGTTCCTCTGAATTTTTGGGTGATGAGATTTTTGCCCGTCTAATGCTATTTTTGCTGGGTTCAGACTTCAAAATGTCAATTCTGAAGTAAGCATAAGTGAGCTGAAATCCTGATTTTGAGGAAAGAACCTGAGCTCTAATGTTTTCACTGTAGTTGCACATTTACTAGTGGTGTCACTGCCCTGAGCAACTATTTGCTGTCTTTCCTTATCTTGTCTTCTTTCCTTATCTGCTGTTGGAAAGTTGGTTGGTCAGTGTGTTACAGCTCTGAAGTGGGACAGAGTGTTTTGGCTGTAGTTTCTCTTAAGTCCACATTTAAGAAAATACCTCAGAAAAGCCATTGTTCCCATTCTCTGTTTTCTGGCAGATTTGAGTACAGTAAGATCTAAAGTCCAAAAGTGTGTGTAAGAACTCTTTTTTTTTTTTTAGGGTGTAATGCATTAGGCTAACCTAGTATTATGGCTAAAAGAAGTGACTGCTGGTAGCTGTTGAGAAAGGTCTTTTTGACTTGGGTTCCCATGCATTTGGTGGCAATGCTGTAGATCTGATCTGCTTCCACCAGAGACCACTCTTGTGCCACTGTTTGAAGATTTCTGTCTGTTGTATAGCAGCAAGACAACAATAC